CCGGTAACAGTTTAATAATTACTAGTATTTTGATAAAAAAAAATACAACTCAGCAAAGCAGCTGTCCATATACTTAAATACTTCACATGTTTAAATATAAGACAGCAAATTGTTAAGTTGCTTCTAACATGAATACACAAAATTCTTCAGAAAAATCTAAAACTGACAACAAGTTCAAGTTTAATAGTGTATAGTTATATGTTTTGTCTTTTGTATAGCTTCATTTCAAGTTCACATCAGTAAATGATTGTAATTTATTGACTATATGCAACTTTCAGGTGTTTGACCATTAATAAATGTTTTTGTTGTTGTATAATGTATGTATTTGATTCTACTAAAAGATTTAAAATAAAACACCATACTCACTTGTGTTTAGGTGAGAATTCATTAGCTCCAGTATATTTTAATGTTGGTGATAGAAATATTTTATTGACTGATGTACCATCTGGCTGGGATTTCTCAGTAAAGACAGGTGGCTGGGGTAATAAAACACTGCCTCCATTCACTACTTCACCTGTAATGTATAAATATGTTCACTCAGTACTGGGTGTACATATCTGTATATGTCTTAATGTTTTACCTTCTGTAAATAAAGTTATTATTATTATTATCATTATTATATAAGAAGAGTGTATAATACAAATTACAAAAGATCAAACTTAATAGTATAACACCTTAATGTATACACAAGTATAGCTGTTAGACCAAAAGATCTGGATTAATGCAATAAAATTGACTCCTGCAAACAATTACTGTAAAATAAGATATTTTTGTGTGGCTAAATTTCATAAAATCAGCATCTCTCACTATTTGGCTATATACACATATAGGTGTAAGACTTGAATGAAAGAATTATGGGGTTCAAGGCTGATATGGGACATAGCTAAGTTTAATTATTTAACAACAAAACTGATTAGTTCCTAGAAACAAATGTGAGTATAACTCCAATAAGCTTTTAACTTTCATCAAAATTGAGCTAAACAAGCATGTTAAAACAAAATTTTGTTTGTTTTTGTGTAAGCCATTTCAACAATTTAATTTTGCCAGTAATTTCTGCTATTTCTCTGCAAGTGACAAACTACTTATCCCACATGATTTTCTGAATCAGAGGTTATAGAAATATGACACAATGTGGGAGATGGATTGTCATGGAGAAACTTCTCCGGGCCCAATACTTACCAACAACCCCTGAATTACAATCCAATACTATACCTATTGGACAGAGCCTAAATCCCTTATTGGACAATGTTAGTTTAGCCATGAAATAAAAGATTAGTTACAATCAAGGAAATATCAAAGCAATACCGGTTGAATGGAGGTCTCCTTTATCAAGAATTCTACGTAAATTTTCTATCTTAGATCCAAAATACGCAACATGCCATTTTTCATAGACACTCCAACCATTTGTTCTACTTGGTAGTCTGAAAAAAATGTATAACAATACATGTACAAATTCTACCTTTTCACATCTATTTTACTTTCACTTATAATACAAAGTTGAAATATTTCAATTCACAAAATTTTATGACATTTGAAGTAGTTTATTTGATTTGCACCCTTTTGGAGCAACTACCCTTCTATAAATACATGATAACCTAACAAACACAAAAAAAACCTCCAAAAACTTTCATTTATAAATTTTAATTCTGTAGCAGCTAAACACTGCCTCAACCATTACAGTTTTTGTAAACATTTTCAAGCAAAAGTACATTCCAATTCATCCCAAATAACACACATAATAGCATAGAAATAGTCTAATAAATGTTATCATATGTACAAGCTGAGGACACTTGTCAATCAGTGGTAAGTATTGGTGTAGTGACAACCTTTTTTCAAGTGAATGTTTTGTTTTGATTCATTGATAAAGCACCGACAACCTTATATTGGAATGATATACAATGCAGCCCCATTATGAAGCACCCCATTATTACGCTAACCTAGATATAACGCTCATAGGCCTTGGCTCACAAAAAAAAACCCTGTAATTTTGTCTGATTATATATATATTTTTTATGCAGATTTGTAACGCGTCATATCTGCTATAACCCTTGTTCAAAATGACAAATTTGAGCTGTGACATGACAAAACCAACATAATGGGTTTGCGACCAGCATGGATCCAGACCAGCCTGCGCATCCACGCTGTCTGATCAGGATCCATGCTGTTCGCTTAATAACCCTATTACAAGTAGAGAAACTGTTTGTGAACTCCATGGATCCTGATCAGACTGCGCGGGTGCGCAGGCTGGTCTGGATCCATGCTGGTTGCAAATGCACTATGTTGGTTTTGTCATGTCGCGGCTCGTTTGTATACCTTAGTTTAAACATACACCAGCCGTATTGTGTAGCATATTGTTTAGGAGGATCCCCTTTCCGATGATACAGTTCTTCTCCCCGTAGTTTATGGCAAGTCTCGCAATAACATACATGAAGGCTTGAATCGAAATATCCATCTAAATATGATCAAATTAACATATAAATGTATCTTAATTTATATCATTGAAATAAGATTGCTTATGCTCACAGACAGGCACAGTACTGCTATTATAATAATAATTGACTTGAACAACAGTATTAGAAAACAACCTTTAACGTCACTTTCTATTTTTTAATTGAGACATTGAATTCTGAAAGAAATTTCAATTCTGTAGCTCTTGAAATTAATGAAAAAAAAAAACAACAACTTTTGAAATTTGCTTATTATTACCTATTCATATTTATCTTTAAACATTTTAAGGGGAATTTACTTTTTTATTTTCAACGTCAATGAAAACGTTTTTGTCTTTTAAAATGACGTTATGGGTCGTTTTTTCATGGCGATGTTCTATAATACATTCTAGTGAATGCATTTTTTGATCTTCAATTAGTGTAAAATGCATTTTAATTAACAAACATTCCTGAACTTTATACTTTTGACAAGAGTTGTTTCCCTTTCTATACAAATATACTTAATTTAATATCAAAGACATTTATAACAACATGTACCTGGCAGAGACAGCTGTGCTTTTATTCTAAGACAAAGATTCTGGTATTCACAATGTCGTAATATTGAACTCTGTTCTACAACAGGTCTGTGTACTTTCTCCTTTATGGCTGAAATAAAAATATCTTAAATGATACCTTATGTAACAAAATAAAATCTGATATATATATATATATATTATTAATTCATAAAGTTGCTACTTATTGACTTTTATTGTTTAATTATTGAACTCATTTAATCAAGAAAAAGAGAAAATAACATGCATCCATAATAAGCCTGGGTTGGAACAATCATCTTCAGATTTTTTTGATTTTTTTTTCTGAATTAATCTGTGCAACTTTCATTTTAAATATTAATGATATTTTCATGATCTAATATTTGTAGGCCTGGTCAATATTATTTTTTTGGTTGGGTTTAAAGTGGCACCAACAAAGTAGATGTAATCTGGTGACTCCAGCTTTACTGGTGGAGGAAAACCACAGGTGCCACTCCATGTATTATTTCAGGCACCAAAGTAGAACCACTGATTTTCCGAGAGCTAGCTGGATAGCTTCCTAACATGACCTGATCAATATACACACAACTGTCAACTGACTTTACAGAGCAATACAGGCAATGACATTATAACATCATTGAACAATAATGTGCAGATGACTGCCAAAATTTATCAACTATTGTGTTGTATATCAGTTATATCGAGATTAAATGCATTTAGTAATTATCAATTGATTTTTACATAGGAATTGTTTATAATTTTATAAACAAACCAACAGTTTTATAGGTAAGAGTTATATTAACACCTACCATCATCTATATCTGCCTTCTCCCTATCTTCAACATTTGTCTGTGTTGCCATGACAACATTTTCTTCTGTTACTATAGTAACCTGTACCAAAATAAAACATTTTCTTCTAAAGCTGAAAAACCCAACTATAGCAGATACTATATAACACACAAATACAGGAGTGACCATGCTTTTTTTAATTTAACCCTTAACCTGCTGAATTTGTAGAATTGATTCACACTGCTGTGATTAAATTTGGAGCAGTCTGTATGAAGAAAAAAAAACTTCTATATCAAAATACCATCAAAAATAAAAAATAAATAAATTAATAAACAAGAGGGCCATGATGGCCCTGAGGTCGCCACCTGTATATAGCCCCCCCCCCCCCCACCCCCCCCCCCCCCCACACCCATAGATGTTTCATGCTAAACATCTAAGCTCTAGCTCATTGGGCTTTTTAAAAGAAGATTTTTTTAAAGTTTTTACTATACACATATAGACCCTTTCATTTAAGACCGTATTCAAGTTGTCGCCCTTGGATGACGTCATTGGGGGATACGGTAGACAATGCCGATACGATAAGAGGGATATAAAGAGCTTAATCCTTTCTCTTTTAAGATTAGCAGATTGAAATTGCCAAGATTTTGTGTAATTGAATAAGATATTACATAAAAAGGATGGTGAAATGAATAAATATGTTTACTATATAATATGGTCAACGATTTGTTTTAATAGTAGACCATATTCCTGGGTAACTGATCATGATTACCATTTTCGTTAGATTCTTAATAATGAAAATTTTACCAGGCAGTTAAATCGTACTAACTTGCTAATACCATAGATACAGATTATGTATCTATGTCTCTGTTAATATACAATACCCAAAAGATATTTTGAGTTTCAAAAATGTAAGGATTCTGTAGTTTCGAAAAACGGCTGCGTATTAATTAATTGCAAGATACTGGTTTATTAAAAATCATTTTGAATTAAGCATTACTAAGACAAAGAAAAGAAAACAATATAAATCTATGTAACTTCCAAAAAAAAATGTAAAGGCATAAAAAGTAAAAATTCTTTTGAATGTACATGACTGTATACTATTTTTGTCGGCAAAAAATGCACTCTCAAAAAAATCGTACATCACACCAATATATTTAAGCTGGTAAAGTAATATTTTCAACTTGATACTTTTTAATTCATACTCTTCTTATCAAATATTTAAAAAAATCACAAAAAAAACAAGTTGTGAAACACGTTCACAGAAATTCGTTATTAACTGAATTATAATTTTTCGTATTTTTGACAACTAACAGAAGTGACGTAATCTGATGTAATGTTATAACTCTAAAAAATGCACCCTGGTGATTTATGATATCACAGCCAAGTGCCGCTTGTATATACAACATATGTACCCTGTTAATTAATATGTTACGGCCCAATGGCGCTTATATATACACATCTATTTATCTATGAAATATGTTACTGGGAAAAGGTCTTTAAAGAATAGAATTTTTAATATCAAAATTATCTTATTATCGTCTGTTGCAAATCTAAAATTATAAAAGTCAATTCCATATGTTTTTCGTTCTTTCCGGAATATTTAAAAAATTATTTTCTTCACTGGTTCGTTGAAATGTTTTTTTATACGGCATAATGAAAAAGAATCAGTAAGTATTGACATAATGCATTCTGTTATTGTTCTATTAAAGCTTGAAAAACAACCATTAAAAGACATTGGCAATCTTATTTTCAGGTTTGTCACAAATACGCCGGAATTTTCTAAATGACAGAAAATAACACAGAAAACTAGAAAATGGCCATTTAAATTTATAATAGGCAATTTCAGTGTGTATGGGTGTTTAGAAAATATTAAAATTTGATTTAGTTACTAGCTTTTTATCCTGGCATTTGAGAAAATCTAGATCTAATAAATATATTCACTTTGAAATTTCGCTGTTTCACTCCGTAGCGATTTATAAATCCGTGGTAGCGAGAATTAATCTCAATCTTTGCTTTTGTATTTTTTCTATTGTCTTGATATTGAATTTATGTATGTATGCGTAAATTTCTACATGTTATAATCATAATTGAACGATCAGTATTTACGCATTTAACTTTTCAATAAGCTAACTTTCTATGCGGCATGCATAGTTTTTATCCCCCATTTACGTCACATCCGGTAAGGGAAGTAACTCTTCACTGACTGTTATCGCTTAAATGAAAGGGTCTATAGTTAAAAACAATGACACCCCTGGGGCGGGGCCAGTTTTGACCCCAGGGCTTTCATTTGAACAAACTTTGTAGACACTAACTAGAAGATGTTTCATGCCAAATATCTAAGCTCTAGCTCTTAGGGTTTTTTAAAAGAAGATATTTAAAGTTTTTTCTTTCGGTTGCCATGGCAACCAGAGTTCTGCATGGAATTAAAGTCTTTGAACAATTTTTAAAGGTGACCACCAAAGGAACATTCCTGTGAAGTTTGGATGAAATTGGCCTAGTGGTTTATGAGGAGATGTCATTTAAAGTAAAAGTTTACGGACGACGGACGCCGGACGGACGCCGGACGAAAAGCGATCACAAAAGCTCACCCTGTCACTTTGTGACAGGTGAGCTAAAAATCCAGTGTATCCAAAATATCAAACTTTACAACATTTCATGTATTTTACCTGCTAAGCTTACCTCAAAATACATATAATGAACTTACATTTTCTGATAAATATTTTTATATAATAACAACAAAATTTGAGTATTACATTTTGCAAAAATCTACAAATCTCAGCATATTTCAATCTACAGACACAACTGTGTTAATGATTATGTCATGCTTATAGTAATCTACCTGTTCACACTGTCCATAGAGGTCAACTAGACCATGACATGGACATGGTACATCTCTTGCAGCCACACCCTGGTCGATACCATTTATATACAGATGTAGACTACTATCCTCATCTATTAATACACCCACTGTATCACCTATCTGTAACTTGTCTAGATTCCTCCCATAATGCTCCTTGATCTGAAGTACAGTCAACATTTCAATAGCACGAAAATCAAGACAAATATATGTAAGTGACATTATGGGCATAAAAACGTAAACTGTGAGTGTAAATTAAAGTCATATTAACTGTTAACTTTACATTTTGCCGTAATTGTCTTCACCTGTATATCTTACTCTTAATATGCAAAATTCATAAGAGCACAAATATCCCAGGGAAAATTCTATAAATGGTCTTCAGAATTTATTGGTAAAGTCTAAATGATACAAAGAGTGAGACAGTTTTTTTTATATTTTAGGTAAATTTATTTATTTTTTCCTAAACATTGTCATTATCATATTTTGGCTGATGAGTATTTAATTATAGTATTTAATCTTTTGAAATATAAAACTAATTAAACACAATTTGACAGCGAAAAAAAATTATGTCACTTTAAATAATCTTTAGAAGACATTTCAAATTTGTTCTTTTACACAAAAAAAGCCAATATTCTATATAAATACATCATCAACTAATTACATTATTATTTGACAGAGTTTAAAGATAATACTTTTATCAACAAACAAAAACAACAGAAGTTAAAAATAGTTCCCAAAAAAACGGGATTTTCCATGAGTGTACTAAACAAACATAATGGTTAACCTCAATATAAAAAATAAGATCAGATTTTCTTTTTCATTAAAATATCTATTCCAAGTATCCTAATACAATGTTTTAATTTTTACCTTTGAACCACTGGAGTAAACTTGATCCGACTGTATAACAACACAAGATTTTTTTATGGCTGTGGCAGAGACAGGAAACGTGTATTTTTCAGGAGAGAATCCCAGGTATCCAATCATCAAAGACGAACTCCAACGAGTATTCAACTTGTCTATCCTTACCTAAAACACAGGGGGGCAAAATGCTTGGTTATTAAATAAATAGACATTATCATTTCCAATAAATACATTTATTAACTTTACACTCATTGCTCAGTACTAGTTGGTTCCAGGAACGGATTCGAAAGTGCCTTTATAAGCATATATATATAGCTTCCTGCACAATCAAACTAAAATAAATTCTGTTTAAACCAAATACATGTATATTCAACCCCATCTAAGGTAATTACCTCTATAAATGAACAAAGAAATATGTCAATCCTTTTTCAACAATATCGTACAATCAAATTAAAGGGATAAAAATTCTCCAACTAAAAACATCTTTTTTTGCTTGTGTGTTAAATTATTTTACATGAGTAAAGAAGGATCTGTTTGAAACATCTATTTCTATTGTATTATACTATATGTGACCTAAACATCAGCTGAGATTTGTTTAAACCTTTAATGCCTCCATTTTACAAGATGACCAAAATCTTGAGATTATAATGATATACATATATTTTTCAGTTAATGCTCGCTGTCAGTCCAGCTTATAACCAACGATCCTCAGACGATTGATCTATATTCCTTATCTACAGAATCATAAGAGCCACACCATGATAAAACCAACATAGTGTTTTTGTGACCAGCATGGATGCAGACCAGCCTGTGCATCCGCACAGTCTGATCAGGATCCATGCTGTTCACTATCAGTTTCTTTACTTGTAATAGGGTTGGTAAGCGAACAGCATGGATCCTGATCAGACTGCGCAGATGCGCAGGCTGGTCTGAATCCATGCTGGTCGCAAATGCACTATGCTGGTTTTGTTGTGACGTGGCTTATATAACATATATATATACGAGAACCCATACTGCAACATACACTTACCCTAAACAGTTGATTTTTGACTAGAGATTTATTGGTTACAGCTATGGCCTGATTATAACTAGACACACGTTCTATTGTCTGGTTACCGTTGCTAAGGAGAATGTTTTTACCATGGTTACAGTGAAATTCTGGGACTGATATACTGGCAGTATCTTGATCTTGGTCTCTATCTAATGGCTGAAATTACAGAAAAAGTCACATTAAAGGGTTGTTTTTATCTATGGCTCAATGTTTCATAATAACAATGATGTACTGATAATCAACTTTAAGCATATTCAAATATCAATTTGTTTCAAAACCTAAAAGCTCAAGGGATTGTGACTATTTTAAGAATTTGTTTTCTTGTGTAATTTTTATATCAAAATCTAACTAATAAAGCAATGCAAATAATCAGAATGAAAACATACTGTATGCAATTGTATACAATTATAATACATATTTTTAATCTTAACCCATCAACTCTTTTCCTGCTAATTGATTGCTCGCTACCACAATTATAAAGCCAGACCTGCTCGCAGTCTCTATTCTATTGTTAACTCGGTTTTCATATTTTGACATTAAAGCCTGTTAAAATATATGCACGTCCGTGCAATACCATATTTACGGAGTTGCAAAATTGGCATGGATGTGTGATAAATAGAGGATATTGAATGAGTGTAAGTTCAATACTGAATTTATTGCACGAGTTTAATAAAATTATATTATGCGAGCCTCTGGCCAGCATATTATTTTATTCAACGAGTACACGAAAAATTTAATATTCTATTTATCATATACCCAAAATAAAGACTATTTAAAGTGAAATAAGAGTCATTTTTCATTGACGCGCCTATAGTATAACGCTAACATTTAGCGCGTCTTTACACAATGTTTGTATAACGCTAATGACGTCACGTCAAAATATATGAACGGCCGTGTAATACCATATTTACTGAGTCGCAAAATCGGCACGGGTGTGTGATAAACATGTTTTGATTACACACAAAGAAGTGATGTTATATTTAAAATCCTACACACTACAGGTGGTCACAATATGAATAGATAGAGTCATTAAACAAGAGGGCCATGATGGCCCTAGATCGCTCACCTGACTTATCAAACTCATCCAAACAATTACCTAGACAAGCATTCTGACCAAGTCTCATGACAGGTGAGTCAAAAATGTGACCACTACAGTGTTAACAAGGATTATCCATATTTGAGCAGTGCGACCTAGTTTTTTACCCAGGTGACACATATTCAAACTTGACCTAGAAATCATCAAAACAAACTTTCAGACCAATTTCCAGGATACTTGGATCAAAACAGTAGCAACTAGAGTGTTAACAAGATTTTTTCTATTTTTAGCTCCGGTGACCTAGTTTCACATGCGATTTCGAACTCATCCAAGCAATTACCTAGACAAGCAATCCTGACCAAGTTTGATGATAATTGAGTCGAAAATGTGACCACTAGAATGTTAACAAGGTTTTTCCATATTTGGGCGGTGTGACCTAGTTTTTCATCCAAGATGACCCATGTTCGAACTTGACTTAGAAATCATCAAAAACAAACTTTCAGACCAATTAACAGAATATTTGGATCACAACAGTAGCCACTAGAGTGTTAACAAGATTTTTCTTTTTTTTTTTAGCTCCTGTTACCTAGTTTTTCATCCTAAGATGACCCATGTTCGATTTATTCCCAGCAATGACCTAGACAAGTTTCCTGACCAATTTTTGATGACAATTGAGTCAAAATTGTGAACCACTAGAAAGTGTTAACAAGGTTTTTCTATTTTTAGCTCCTTGTGACCTAGTTTTTCATCCGAGATGACTCATGTTCAAAACTTCATACGAGCTATCACCTAGACAAGCACTTTGATCAAGTTTGATGATGATTGATGCAAAAATGTGACCTCTAGAGTGTTAACAAGGTTTCTCTATTTTTAGCTCCGGTGACCTACTTTTTTCATCCGAGATGACCCATGTTCGAACTTATCAGAGCTATCACCTAGACAAGCATCCTGACCAAGTTTGATGATGACTTATGCAAAAATGTAACAGCTTGAGTGTTAACAAGGTTTTTCTATTTTTAGCTCCGGTGACCTACTTTTTCATCCGAGATGACCCATGTTCAAACTCATACGAGCTATCACCTAGACAAGCATCCTGATCAAGTTTGATGATGATTGAGGCAAAATTGTGACCTCTAGAGTATTAACATGGTTTTTCTATTTTTAGCCAAAGGTGACCAAGTTTTTCATCTGAGATGACCCATGTTCGAATTCATCCGAGCTTTCACCTAGACAAGCATCTTGACCAAGTTTGATGATGACTTATGCAAAAATGTAACAGCTAGAGTGTTAACAAGGTTTTTCTATTTTTAGCTCCGGTGCCCCATTTTTTTTATCCGAGATGACCCATGTTAGAACTCATACGAGCTATCACCTAGACAAGCATCCTGACCAAGTTTGATGATGATTGATGCAAAAATGTGACCGCTAGAGTGTTAACAAGGTGAGCTAAAAAACTGACAGTTTTTTTTATGTGTAGAGATACACATATTTCAATATTTCCTCCCTAATCAATACAATTGTTTACCAATGAGATTTGATGTCCCGTCTCTGATTCAACAGATGGTGTGGTAGATGAACTGTCTGTTACCATGGAAACAGAACTAACAACAGATACTGACTCTACCATACCATATAGGTCTATCACAGCGAATACATTCTGTAAAATAAAATAACTTTGAAACATATAAACAAATGTCCTTTATATAATAATCTACGTTCAACAATTTATACCAAAAAAAGTATTGGGAAACATCCAAATAATCATAATTTTAACTTATTAATGTCATTTTGCAAAAGTGTAAAGACAATACGAAACTTATCAATGTTTTTATATTATGCAATTTAAACTGCGAAATGAATCTTTATCTTAAATGTCTTTATGTCATTTGCTAAATCTTATTACATGATTTTATGTTTTTTTGAAATTGGCTAAATGCTGCTCTGACAACATGTCCTTGTACTTTATACAACTCTATGTAAATCTGTATATTATGCGATGTTATATTATCCTAACTAGCTGTCATGTCATTATGCTATTGTGTTTATATATATATATATTTCATGTATACATGTGTATGGGCCGGTGGCCTGAATGCAAATTTGAAATAAACTAAAACAAGAGCCACCGCCGGGCGGGGGCAACGCTCGACTTTTTACTTTTTCTAAACGCAAACATAGAAAGGTTTGAACATATATTGATGTTTCCTTTTTATAAATTTAGTTGGTCTGTCTTGTCACATTAGTTTTGTTTATAATATATTTTAGTATATATATGAATAGAAACATTAAGCATATTTCTAAAAATAGCAACAGTACGGCAAATTTTAAAAAATAGCAACAATGACGCAATTTCTAAAAATAGCAACATGACGCAATTTCTAAAAATAGAAACAACAATGACGCAATTTCTAAAAATAGAAAAAAATGACGCAATTTCTAAAAATAGACCAAAAAATGACGCAATTTCTAAAAATAGAAACAATGACGCAATTTCTAAAATAGAAAAAAATGACGCAATTACTAAAAAAGCAACAATGACGCAATTTCTAAAAATAGAAAAAATGACGCAATTTCTAAAAATAGAAAAAATGACGCAATTACTAAAATAGCAACAATGACGCAATTTCTAAAAATAGAAAAAAATGACGCAATTTCTAAAAATAGAACAAAATGACGCAATTTCTAAAAATAGAAAAAAATGACGCAATTTCTAAAAAATAGAAAAACATGACGCAATTTCTAAAAATAGAAAAACTAAAAATAGAAAAAATGACGCAATTTCTAAAAATAGAAAAACATGACGCAATTTCTAAAAATAGAAAAAACATGACGCAATTTCTAAAAATAGAAAAAAAATGAAGCAATTTCTAAAAATAGAAAAAAATGACGCAATTTCTAAAAATAGAAAAACATGATGCAATTTCTAAAAATAGAAAAAAATGACGCAATTTTCTAAAAATAGAAAAACATGACGCAATTTCTAAAAATAGAACAAAATGACGCAATTTCTAAAAAATAGAAAAACATGACGCAATTTCTAAAATAGAAAAAATGACGCAATTTCTAAAAATAGAAACAATGACGCAATTTCTAAAAATAGAACAAAAATGACGAAATTTCTAAAAATAGAAAAAAATGACGCAATTTCTAAAAATAGCTACAATGACGCAATTTCTAAAAATAGAAAAAAAAAGACGCAAATTCTAAAAATAGCAACAATGACGCAATTTTCTAAAAAATAGAAAAAATGACGCAATTTCTAAAAATAGAAAACATGACGCAATTATATACATGTAATATATATAATATATATATATATATATATATATATATATATACATATATATATATATATATATATATATACCTGCATATATGTATATATATACACACACACATTTATATATATATTTATATATAATACATATACTATACATACACACACACCGATAAATGCACAATCTGAGAAAATTCAGTAATATAACCTTCAAGGTCAAGGTCATTAAAGAGCCCAAGCAAATTTGGGTTTGATAAACAACAAGGTCTGGTCCTTAAGAATGTTCTGTTATAATATGAAGTTTATCCCTTCAAAAATAGCAAAGTTACAGTCAGTTACTGCCAAAACAATGAAATTTCAATAATTTGACCTTCAAAGGCAATGTCATTAATGAGTGAAGGTCAAGGTCTTTCGGTATATTTTTAACAGTTATCTTTGAAGATTATTATGTTCAAGTTTGAAAGACAATCCATTCAAAAATAACAAAGTTACAGCCAATAATAGCCAAAAAAATGAAAATTTCAAAATTTTTGACCTTCAAAGTCAAGGTCATTGATGAGTGAATGTCAAGGTCTGACTGGTTATTTTTTAAGGGATATCCTTGAAGATTATTATGTTCAAGTTTGAAGACAATCCATTCAAAAATAACAAAGTAACAGCCAATAACAGCATGAACAAGCAAAAATTGGACTTTTAACCTTGAAGGTCAAGGTCATTTATGGATGAAGGTCAAGGTTAGTGTGGTCTACTGAAAGGTCTTGTCCCAAGGGTTGTTGTGGCCAAGTATGAAGACAATACACCAAGAAATAAAAAAGTTATGATCCAGGTACAAGTTTTCGGACGGCAACGGCAACGGCAACGGCAACGGAGACGGCAACGGCAACGGCAACGGCAACGGCAACGCCGACCTGACTATAACAATACCTCTACTTTTTTTTTCAAAAAAAAAAAAGTCGAGCTAAAAACAATGTGACATCACTGTCAAACAGGTTAGGTGAGCATATAAACCACTTTGACAAAATACATAAAATAAGATAAACAAATTTTATTATAATTATGTTTCATTATTCCGATCACTTGAACATATAAGAGTTATGCAAATAATGTATTACAATACTGCAATATGTATACTGCCATTTTCTCAATCTTCAATTTAATGACACATAGTATATAAATTGTGAAATATGCTCACTAAAGCAAGATATGATAAATATTTTATGTTTGTAAAAAGATTTATGACCGTAGCAAATTACACAAAGTCATTATGACCCTTTCATGACTTGAATGTCATGGCCTTAAGGAATATTTTGTTTCACAACATCAACACTGTCGAACATGTAAGTCTACAACTATATTCCAGGTTTTTTACAAGGAGAAATATTATAAAGTGCCATCAAATCCCAGCATATGTGCTGTTAGCTTTGTAACTATGATAGAGGTCACTATTTTCAGTAATCTACTCAGTATCCCAGGATGAACTTACTGTCAAATCAATGACTGTATAATTATATTTTGGTTGCAATGAGCATTTCAACATACTTTGTGTGACAAAGTTCCTGAACTCCTATCTTTTACAGTTATTTCTTATTTTAACTTTTATAGTTAATCTAGTCAATCTACTATAAAACCTTTTGTGAATTTATTTAAAGTATTAAAGAGCACTTTTCATAAGAAAAAGCCCCTCTAATTGGTACAGAAAAGATGCATGTAAGTTTTCCATAAAATAGACATGGACACTTCAAAATATATCAATATCTTTGAATACTCTATGAATGCTCCCCTTTCCTTATTGTTCGGAAACCATTTTTCTTTTTCTAGTAACAGTGACCTTGACCTTGAACCTAGGGGGTCCAAAAGCAATCGAAACCTGTTTTTCACATAAGTTTGTTATATACAAAGTTTGAATACAATATCTCATTCCAAACTCTAGTTATCATCAAGCCACCCTGATAAACCTCTTCTAAATAAGAAACACCAATTTTTGCAGCATAATACCAATCATGAGGTAAGACTACCCAAGGACACAAGCTCTGAATTACCTTTGGTATATTAGATGCAGCTATTCCAAGATTTTCACCATTCAGATATAAATGCATCGTACCATCATGACTTCTACCAATACCAACCCTGTTACCAACCTGTAACATAAACAAAGTCATACTCAATCTTTTCTTTTTTGGGGTTATTTTGCATAATGAAAATAATTAATTCTGGTAAAACAGGGTAAGGGAATGATTTGAAAACCTGAACACAAGTTATTGGTTTAGACTTACATCAAATGGTACACAAATCTCAAAAAATTAATCATTTCCAGACCTATCATGTCAAAGAAAACAAAAACAAATGACTATTTACTATGTATTAAAGTAAAACTAAAAGAATTGTAAAATTCTATTTTTCAATTCACAAAATTTGCAACATTTACATTAATTACAATACAAAAGCAATAAGAAACCAATACAAAATTAATTTCATTCTCTTCAGAAAACAATATGAAAATAATATTTCACTCTCTTCAAAGTAAGTTAACTTTCTAAAGAAAATTTAAAAAAAAATGCTTTAACTCTACCTCAAGTCTTTGCAAGGACGGAGTGTAGTTCTCTTTTATTGTTACACCGGACTTCTTTACATCTGATCCAGAAATAATCCATGTTGGTTTTGTTGTCAATTCTAATGAAGTAAGAGGAACTGCCGACACAGGCGTCGTATCAGATATCGCCATAGATGTCAAACCGATGCGTAACGATCCGGACCACTGTTTACAAAGTTTCTCAATTTTTATTTCAAACACTTCGTCTTTTTTTAAAGGATCAGAACTAAACACTAGACAGTGATTATAATTGTTAGATCTAGAAGCAGTTCTACCATTAGATGTAAGCTGTATATTCTTCCCACAACAATGACTGAATCTGTGACATTCTGAAATAATATTGTCATATATGTACCTTTAACATTTACCACAATACATTTTTTAAATTCAGGAAAGAAATTTACATAAGTCTTTGACTTCCTTTTCAATCCTGTATTAATTATTTCATGTTGTTGTACATACCTGTATAGGTTTAAAGCATATGAAATAATAACTGTTTAAACCAAATGGACATAAATTGGAAAATTTGAAAATTTCAAAACATGTACAGTCCCCTTAGTAAAAAGTGCAGACCATAATCAGATGGCATGGATGTACTGAGTGATCTTGATCTGCACTTGTCACATGGTTAAATTCAATTGCCGCCAGCAGGCTTAGACAGGCTTCGTACAGACACCCAATATCTAAATTCCAGCACTTTTAAGCATGTTTTCCCATTTTTCAAGCACATCTTATTGCACATATATTATTTGTAACCAATGATAAAGTAACTTTAAAACAGTCATAAACTTATTCTTGACTGCTAAATAACATGAATTGTACACTGTCTATGTGATATTTTAAAAATTTAACAATTTCTCACCATGTCACTTTTGGGGCCCAACATGAGTCTATGGCGGTATATAACTCTCCAGCCAATCCACTTTGTAAGTTAAGTGTACCCATGATTTTAGTGTAAGACTATGATGATCACATAATTATACATGTATAAGGACAGAAAATGTTACAGTTGTAAAGTTGTGTATGGTATTCCATGGGTTCTGGTAATAATACAACACTGATAGCAAATGCTTACCTGCAGAGCTCACAGGAGAATTAAAATTTGGATGTTCTACTATAGTTCTATTTATAGTATTATTATCTGTTGGCATTATGCCAGAACCACTGGTTATGGACACCTGACCACATTGTCCGTACAGATCTATAACTGCCCATACTCCTGTAATAAACAATATAATTAATATATATAGACCTTCACATAGAATAACATAAATGAATATACAATTATTGATCTTTAACAACTCTAAATTTCATTAAGACAAAATATCTTGCTTTCACATTGATTTTTATCCAGTCAACTTTTAATGTTAAAGGTACATTTATATGTATCTGCATGTCTGTACATAATTTGTTTGAATAGCCAGAGTTTTTTTGACAGAAACACAAGCCATGATTTAAGGGGCAAGTTTTAAGTTAATACTAAAACAAAATGAACATATTATAATTCAATAGTTCTCTGTTTCCTTACCATGGTAGGCCTTATAAACTCTACTAAGTATCTGACATAAATGAGCTGTTATCTCCTACTAAGAGGAAACAAACTGGAACAAATCCTGATGCCAAACTTGTCAGGCATAAAGTTATCTAAAAAATGTCTGAAGTAATAAAGGATTTAAAGAATTAAATTAACACTCCCAAGTTTTGGCTAGTTGCATTTAGGTTTATCCTAAATATGTTGCTATGGTTAGATCTGTAGAATATTACTTAGTATGTGAAATATTTCACAAACCAGGTGGAAAATTTACTAATTAGAAAATTTTACTAAACTTGTTACTAACCAGGTGGAACATTTTACTAGCCAGATGGAATACTTTACTTACCAGGTGGGATATCATAGCAAGCTACTCCTTGGTCTGTACCATTTAGAAAGTAATGTAGAGTACCATCAGAGCACCTCATCATGCCAATACGACAGCCTACACTTACAGAATCCAGATCTAAGGGATACCCATTCTTTATAGTAGACCCATCCTGCATTATGGCTGAACCACTGTAACAAAGGTAAAACATGAAACAAAACTGATAATACCTGTCATCTTCAACTAGTGAACACTATTTAAGGATTTGAGAATCTCAAATCCTTAAATAGTGTTCACTAGTTGAAGACAGAGAAAACAAGAGCTGCCTGTAAGACAGCACGCTCTGCTATTCTCAGTGCTTGACAGTAAGAAAGGGGCATAACTCTGTAAAAAAAGATTGTATAGAGTAATGGGACATGTGCCCATAATGTTAGTTAATGACAGAGAGCAAATGTGTGAAGTTTCAACTAATTCCCTTCTACCCAACTTGCAGGCAAAAATTCAACTAAAGTGTGACAGTGTTGGTTAAGTACAATAGCTCTCCAAGGTAAATTTTAATAAGGTTCAAAGCAGTAACAACTGATACTATGCTATCATAGTGTTTGTTGTTAAAATTCTTCTTTTATCTGAATTACATTTACATCTTAGTCATTAACCACAATTTAAACTTTTTCTAATCTAAAGACATAGAACAAAGTAGATTCTATGTCATGTAAAGGCCTACGCAAACATTTCAATGTCTTGAAAAATAAATGATTCCATTTTACAGGTTTTTAATGAAAATCATGAAAAAATGTTAAGAAAATATCATCAGTACTGTAACATTAGGATCGGTGTATCTTATGGCAGCTCAATCAATCTCAGCCCATCCACCCATCTCTCAAACCCCTTTCCCTTAACACCAAACAAAAATTCAGACTGATTCTTTTCATATTATTTTTCTATCTATAATGACAAATATTAGGAAACCAAAGAAAATACAATTCAAAGAAAAAGACCCTCTAAAGAGAAAATTATCATCTGTAACTATTATATGATGTTTATGCCTCTCATTTCTTGGTACTACCTTTCTCAGGTTAAGATTATATACATAGAGGATATTCAAGTTTTTTCTATAAATACATGATTTATTTTCATCGAGTGGTATGAAAATAAATATTTTATGAGTGGCGGTAGCCACGAGGGAAATATGGTAATTTTCATGCCACAAGATGAAAATAAATCATGTATTTATAAAAAAACTTGAATTTTCTGTTTATTATATACATTTTTTCTCTTTTTTGACATTAAATTTGAAAGACTTTCCCTTAAATTTTGTGTACTGGCAGAATTTTAAAACAAGAGGGCCATGATGGCCCTAGATCGCTCATCTGACCCATCAAACTCATCCAAACAATTACCTAGACAAGCATTCTGACCAAGTCTCATGACAGGTGAGTCAAAAATGTGACCACTACAGTTTTATCAAGGATTATCCATATTTGAGCAGTGTGACCTAGTTTTTTACCCAGGTGACCATATTCAAACTTGACCTAGAAATCATCAAATCAAAATTAGACCAATTTCCAGGATACTTGGATCAAAACAGTAGCAACTAGAGTGTTAACAAGATTTTTCTATTTTTAGCTCCGGTGACCTAGTTTCACATGCGATTTCAAACTCATCCGAGCAATTACCTAGACAAGCATCCTGACCAAGTTTGATGATAATTGAGTCGAAAATGTGACCACTAGAATGTTAACAAGGTTTTTCCATATTTGGGCGGTGTGACCTAGTTTTTCATCCAAGATGACCCATGTTCGAACTTGACTTAGAAATCATCAAAACAAACTTTCAGACCAATTTACGGGATATTTGGATCACAACAGTAGCCACTAAAGTGTTAACAAGATTTTTCTATTTTTAGCTCCTGTGACTTAGTTTTTCATCCGAGATGACCCATGTTCGATTTAATCCCAGCAATGACCTAGACAAGTTTCATGGCAAGTTTGATGACAATTGAGTCAAAATTGTGACCACTAGAGTGTTAACAAGATTTTTCTATTTTTAGCTCCTGTGACCTAGTTTTTCATTTGAGATGACCCATGTTCAAACTCATCCAAGCTATCACCTAGACAAGCATCCTGACCAAGTTTGATGATGATTGAGGCAAAAATGTGACCGCTGGAGTGTTAATAAGGTTTTTCTATTTTTAGCTCCGGTGACCTACTTTTTCATCCGAGATGACCCATGTTCAAACTCATCCGAGCTATCACCTAGACAAGCATCCTGACCAAGTTTGATGATGATTGAGGCAAAAATGTGACCGCTAGAGTGTTAACATGGTTTTTCTATTTTTAGCTCCGGTGACCTACTTTTTCATCCGAGATGACCCATGTTCAAACTTATCCGAGCTATCAACTAGATAAGCATCCTGACCAAGTTTGATGATGATTGATGCAAAAATGAGACCACTAGAGTGTTAACAAGGTTTTTCTATTTTTAGCTCCGGTGACCTAGTTTTTCATCCGAGATGACCCATGTTCGAACTCATCCGAGCTATCACCTAGACAAACATCCTGACCAAGTTTGATGATGATTGAGGCAAAATTGTGACCTCTAGAGTGTTAACAAGGTTTGCTTTTTTTTAGCTCCGGTGACCTAGTTTTTCATCCGAGATGACCCCCGAGCTATCAACTAGATAAGCATCTTGACAAAGTTTGATGATGATTGAGGCAAAAATGTGACCGCTGGAGTGTTAACAAGGTTTTTCTATTTTTAGCTGCGGTGACCTAGTTTTTCATCCGAAATGACCCATGTTCAAACTCATCTATGCTATCACCTAGACAAGCATCCTGACCAAGTTTGATGATGATTGATGCAAAAATGCGACCGCTAGAGTGTTAACAAGGTTTTTCTATTTTTAGCTCCGGTGACCTAGTTTTTCATCTGAGATGACCCATGTTCGAACTCATCCGAGCTATCACTAGACAAACATCCTGACCAAGTTGATGATGATTGAGGCAAAAATGAGACCTCTAGGTGTTAACAAAGTTTTTTATTTTTAGCTTTTGTGACCTAGTTTTTTCATCCGAGATGACCCATGTTCGAACTCATCCGAGCTATCAACTAGATAAGCATCCTGACCAAGTTTGATGATGATTTAGGCAAAAATGCGACCGCTCGAGTGTTAACAACTAAATGTGAACGGACAACGGACAATCATCGATCCTAAAAGCTCACCCTGAGCATGCTCAGGTGAGCTAAAAAGTAGTCCGGCAAAACACCAGTGAAAATACGGAAAATATGTTTCACTGCAGTGAAAAGTAAATTTTTACAGTGAAAATATGGAAAATGAAAATACGCATTTTATTTCATCAATATTCTCAATATTTCATTTATAAGTATATAATAAAATCATCCGCAGTTTGGTTCTGATATCCCAATAGCACCATAAAACCCCATTGTGTTATTGTTCTTGTTATAGTTCTTGTATCATAAGAAGAACAGGTTTACCTTAACATCCAAGTATCATACTCTATGTCTGTCATGGTGTTTGGGAATCAGATCTTCAGGTTTAATCAAAGTTACACCTTAAATAAACATGCAACCATATATACTTGGGAGTTTTTTTTTTATCAAAATAAATTTTAATAAAGTTTCTGTTGAAAATGAATTATATAACAAAGCCAGCCATATGCTACACAGTCTGATTTTAATATATATTTATCTTATTTAACTTTAAGCTTCATAACTTAACAATTGACAAGCTCGTTTTTCAAAAAGACATGAAGTTCAAACCAAAATGTCTGTCTCTGACAATGAAAATGAAAAAAAAAAACAACCAGAAGACAAAGCAGAAGAGCTATATATAGATATTTCTAGAGACCTTTCACCTTTTACCGAAAAAATTGACCATACAACACACCTGAATATAACAAACCTGCTTCAATAGATCCCGACCATCGATCCACCATTTTTTCAATGATTACTTCGAAAAGTTCGTTATCTCTCAAAGGACGGTTACTCATCACAATGGCGTCATTAAACTCCCCAGTGGCACTTGGACGTACGGCCGTGCGACCCCCATTTATAATGGCCGAGTTACTACCATGGATTTGGTGAAACAGCAGCATGTCCGTGTCTGTGAGACTAGATAGATCCATGTCTTGGATACTTAAAGAATCTACAATCAAACAAATAAAAGATAATAAATTTTAAACCATTCAGACTTGAGTAAAAGTTTTTGTACAGAAAATTATCACACAATTTTATTCATTGTTAATTTACTCTTGATGTCCATATTTCATGTACATATTTAAACTTTACATAGGGGAGAAAAGCATAAGTAACATGTTCTAGAATGAAAAAATTTAAATGAAGTCACAGCAGTGTCTACACAGAAAGTAAAATATCACTAAAAAGAGAAAGCCCTAAATTTCAAAATACAATTCAAAATAAACATTTCTTAAAGGGTATGAACCTGTATCTTAGAAAAAAAATCAAAAGTAAAATTACTTTTTTTTCCCATAATATTAAAGAGAACATTGAAGATCTCTGTTCTTTAACAGACATGAATATTTACATAAACTGAATAAAAAGTTCCAGAAACAAAATATTATACTGCTATATTTAAGTAGGGTTTAAAACCTTTCTAAATGATTTCGTGCACATGTTATTCACTCTTCAGTCAATATACAATCATAATTTTTTCATACAAGCATTTTGGAAGTATTCTTTTATAAAATTTGAACAATAATTTAACAGCATATATATAAATTTATAAACATTAACTTTGTTGTTTTGGAGATATCAACATGCATGTAAAAACTTAACCAAAGTGTTATGGGGGATGCTGATGATGGTGAGTAGAATTGCTATCTTATTCTTCGAGAAGTCAGATACTAAGCTTTATACACTTTAACCCTGAAGTTTTGGAGATACAAACATGCAAGCAAAAACTTAACCTTTTACCCCATGAGCATATTGCGAAAAATGGCCATTTTCATTGAAAAGCCTCCTGTAACAAGTTCAAACTGCTATGAAACTATGAAAAATGCTTCAATGCTGATGAAACTTGGCACAAATGTTGACTAGACCATAGCCTCTGTAACACCATGCTCAATCGTAAATTTCCTGTTACCATGGCAACGGGGGGACGTCTCAAAATTGCCAAAAATCACTATTTTGCATTGTTTTTTTCCACCAAAACTGATTTAAAAGTGCTGCAACTTCTCAATGAATTGTGATAGAGTGAAAGGCTTTTCAGCGTCCGTTACTAGTTACCCTAAGATCGACCTGAGGCCATTTTTAGCCTGTCACATGTCCAAACTTTTCTTGCCGATGAGGGGGACTCAGCCCCCTTCAAATCCCCCAAACAAGGGAAAAGGTTGACTAAAGTGTGACAAAGAAGCCGATGTCGGGGTGAGGACAATTGCTACCCTATTCTTCAAAAAGTTGAGTTAAAAACTAAATGAAAGTAAGCTTACCTGACTGGTCAATGATTGTGGCTTGAGCTGCTTGTCCATATAGATCTATAACTCCATAAACATTCTCTGGTACATTACTGGCTGCTGCACCTTGGTCTATACCATTTACAAAGAAATGTACCGTACCAGTCTCCTTCCTTATAACACCAACTCTATCACCAGCCTGTATTAGATATAAAATGTTCTCATGAAAAGTATTATTATAAAAGGCTTTATACAATTATAGCTGTCATCCAGTAAAACTTCATCATATAAATCAAATAAAAAACTAATAAAAGGATAAAAAAGCTATATGAAACTGGCTGTAATTGGCAGTGTCATTGTTCGTAATGTTGTTAGAGTCATACCTGGTAGGAATTATACCGAAGTGGCTAAATTTAAAGAATCATTTTCACCAATTCTCATGTAGTAATATTCATATGCAATAAGTAAATGCCTTCTATAAAATCTTTTTAAGATGTGACCACACTAGAGTACGAAAACATAATGTTACTTTACAGTTTCTATTGTTTTTCTGCACATTTTGCCATGCATGGGTATACATCATTCATGCTTCTTAATTTTATGTCTTGTGTATTTACCCCCCTCCCCTAACATAGAATACGACGAATCTGACACCAACCTTAAGCCGGTCTAAATTTTGTCCGTAATCATCCATCACTGTGGTTCCATTATACATGACCCCATTCCCCGTCATCATCCAAGTACCCGATCTTATATTTGTCATGGTTGACGGAAACTCAAGGTTCTCTGGAGAATGTAAGGTCAGCCCTATTTCTATTGACCCCGCCCACTTGTCAACCATCTTATCAATACAAACTTCAAATATCTCATTTGGTCTGACATGTCTGTTAGTTAGTACTACACCATTATTAAAGTCATCAAGAGCACTGAAAATACCACATAATAAATATCACATAATAACAAATTTTTGGATATCATCAAAACTAAACTGTGAATGAATTAAACATATCTATTTTATCTATTAGTTTATACAGAAGTTATTTTAGTTTGATTGTGTTGGAAGCTATAAGCTTATTAAAACTCTCACGAATCATTTCCTGGAACCAACCAGTACTAAGAAATGAATGTGAAGTTTCTTGCTCAAGAAAATAATGATTTGCCCCCTGCCAGGGTTTGAACCCAGGAAGCCAGCAACCTTTAGATTACAAGTTTGACGCAAATATCACTCGGCTACATCAACACTTATCTTAACTATTAAATTTTGTCATTTTAACCAAACTTTAGGACATGGTTAACTGTAGATAAACAGATATTAAAAGATGTTTCAATTTGGTCATATAAAAAAACTCTTTTTTTCCAGATAATTAAGTAACTATCCAGATCTACAGACTGAGGTTCAATTAGATGTTTCTCTGTACATTACTTTTGATGAGAAAATGGTAGCTATGTAAGAGTCCCTATTAAATAACTTTACAATGTCTCAAGTGTTGTACCTTGAAAGAATTGAAATAACAGCAAAGAAGTGGGTGAGTCGGACAAAAATTACAAAATTCATTATGCTTAAATAACTGCAATGAAGTGGGGGAGTGGGGTAAGAATTTCAAAATTCATTTTGCTTAAATAATGGCAAAGAAGTTAGGGAGCCGGGGAAAGAATTTCAAAATTCATTTTGCTTAAATAACAGCAAAGAAGTGGAGGAGTGGGGCAAGAATTTCCGAATTTATTATACTTAAATACAAATGTAAAAGCAAAGGAGTGGGGAAGTGGGGCAAGAATTACAAAATTCATTATGCTTAAATAACAGCAAAGAAGTGGGGAGCAGTGTAAGAATTACAAAATTCATTATGTTTAAATAACAGCAAAGAAGTGGGGAGTGGGGTAAGAATTACAAAATTCATTATGCTTAAATAACAGCAAAGAAGTGGGGAGCGGTGTAAGAATTACAAAATTCATTATGCTTAAATAACAGCAAAGAAGTGGGGAGCGGGGTAAGAATTACAAAATTCATTATGCTTAAATAACAGCAAAGAAGTGGGGAGCGGGGTAAGAATTACAAAATTCATTATGCTTAAATAACAGCAAAGAAGTGGGGAGCGGTGTAAGAATTACAAAATTCATTATGCTTAAATAACAGCAAAGAAGTGGGGAGCGGGGTAAGAATTACAAAATTCATTATGCTTAAATAACAGCAAAGAAGTGGGGAGCGGTGTAAGAATTACAAATATTCAATATGCTTAACAATATGACCACATAGACGCTATAAATAATTGTACACTACAAGTAAAGCTTTACAAATGTTTGTATATAATCACACTTACTTGGGCCTGTGTGCAGTTCTGCCTCTATTTACAACACTAGCATGTGTACCACAGCGTGTATGAAAACTTAATCTCTCTACTTCATCCTCTATAATGACAAATATAAAACTTTAAAAAAACACTGATACATATTACGTTTATAATTATATTCAGATATATAAAATGATTAGAACATAATACAAAACTTCAGCAATCAAAGTTGTAAGGTCTTTTGAGGCATTTCTGTTCACTTCACCACTTCAAGAAAATTACCTTATCAAAGTCTGACACAAAGTCATTGTCAAGTTAATACTGTTTCTTACATCACTGACTATATAACATTTCAAGAATATTTCTTTCTGACTTAGACAATATTCAAGAAGAGAATAAGTCTAAAGAATGAACTTAATTTAAATCTTAGAAGTTTTTATCTTTTTCTCAGGTAAATAATTTTTTTTTAAGTTGCTGAAATTTCACAGATCAACTTTAGAATTATTTTTTTTGTTATGTATAAATACAAAATATGGCTATATTTACTGATATTTAATATCACACTTCTACCCTGTTATTGTGTACAGGCTTTATATTGCATATTTTGATACATATTATTTTGGGAAATCTTTGTCTCTTATGATAGCTTTAATTTATTCATTCACTTGGCACTATTTTACTTTAAACACTATCTAAATTTTCACAAAAAATAGCAAACATCTAGAAGAATGCTTACATTCTCATACATGACATCATAATCAAGTCTGCGACAAGCTTTTTATCAAAATTATCAATGGATTAAATATTTTTATCGTTTTGTTTTTCATTAGGTTCAAATTGTCGCACCAACACAGTATATGTAATATGGCGACTTTCCAGCTTTGCTAGTGGAGAAAGACCTCAGGTGCCTCTCTGTACATTACTACTGGCATAATCTGGTGCCTGAGTAGGACCACCGATGTTCCGTAAGCTAGCTGGATAGTTTTCTCACATGGATTGAAGACCACACTAACTATACACTTGCAGTACATAGCAAAAACTCCATAAGCCAATTCACCCTCTATCTAAGTTCTTACCTGTCATCTATAACTTTATTTATCAAAAACAGCCTTTAACAAACAGCTGCATCAACCCTTTTCTTCTGAGACAAGTATTTAATGAACTAGGTGTGTAAGAACATAAAATATTTTATTTAAATAAGACAAGTAACTAATTCAGGTAATACACATTGTTCTAACATCAGCAACCTACAAATCATAAATTACCTGCACTATTTTCTTCATCATATAGATCAGTGAACTGTCTAGGTACCCTCTGTCTCTCTGGCCTCCGACTATTCACCATGTGGTTATAGTTGGGATCATTACGATCTAAGATTGTCACCTTTACAGCCATACCATATAGGTCAACCACTCCCCATACAGTGGGAGGACATGTGTTAGATGCCATGCCCTGGTCAACACCATTTATAAAGTAGTGCAGACTTCCATTGTTTTTTCTGATCAAACCTATCCTATCTCCTTCCTGTAAAGTTAGTAAATCAGTTTTTACAACATTCAATACAGGGTATATGGTTTTCTTGATACATTTGGAAGTCTTATTATCTCAGGCACTAAAGACTTTTTATAACAAACATACATTTTGGTTGTATTTTTTTTACTACTTATCCAGTATCCTTCCTGAGGATAAAAGTCTCAACATAATAAGCACTAAAAGCTTTGATACATTTTTACATCATACATTATTTTTTTTTTTTTATTAACATGCAATTCTATCGATTTCATATTCAAGGGACAACAGCAAGGAACACTCATAAATTGATAAGATCATGTTTCTATTCTGTTAATTAATTTAAGATCAAAGTAATTTTTACAAGTATGTGCCTAGTTTCAAACATAAAAAAGCACCTGTTCTAAATATCAAACTGTTCCTAGCTAGACTGGTCTCTTATATTAAAACAATGGAACGTTTTGGAATTCAATCAAAAATGGCTACAGTGACTTAACAGTATTACAATATAAATCTTTTAAGTTCTAGAAATACACATGAAACACTTACAGCTAGAGCATCTAAATTATACTGTCCATATTCCCTCCTTGTTCCTTTACCATTAGTCAATATACCACACCCACTCATCATAATAGTACCTGAATAATAATAATCATAATAATATACCACACCCATTCATCATAATAGTACCTGAATAATAATAATCATAACAATATACCACACCCATTCATCATAATAGTACCTGAATAATAATAATCATAACAATATACCACATCCATTCATCATTATAGTACCTGAATAATAATAATCATAATATACCACACCCATTCATCATAATAGTGCCTGAATAATAATAATCATAATATACCACACCCATTCATCATAATAGTGCCTGAATAATAATAATCATAATATACCACACCCATTCATCATAATAGTGCCTGAATAATAATAATCATAATATACCACACCCATTCATCATAATAGTGCCTGAATAATAATAATCATAATATACCACACCCATTCATCATAATAGTGCCTGAATAATAATAATCATAATATACCACACCCATTCATCATAATAGTGCCTGAATAATAATAATCATAATATACCACACCCATTCATCATAATAGTGTCTGAATAATAATAATCATATATACCACACCCATTCATCATAATAGTGCTGAATAATAATAATCATAATATACCACACCCATTCATCATAATAGTGCCTGAATAATAATAATCATAATATACCACACCCATTCATCATAATAGTCCCTGAATAATAATCATAACAATATACCACACCACTCATCATAATAGTCCCTGAATAATAATAATCATAATAATATCCCACACCACTCATCGTAATAATAATAATAATACTCATAATAATATACCAAACCCACTCGTACCTGAATAATAATAATAATCATAACATTATACCACACCAACTCATCATAATAGTTCGTACCTGAAAAATAATATAATCATAATAATATACCACACCCACTCATCATAATAGTACCTGAATAATAATAATCGTAATAATATACCACACCCACTCATCATAATAGTTCCTGAATTATAATAATCATAATATACCACACCCATTCATCATAATAGTGCCTGAATTATAATAATCATAATATACCACACCCATTCATCATAATAGTACCTGAATGATAATAAACATAATAATATAACACACCCACTCATCATAATAGTTTTGTTTGTTTGTTTGATTTGGGTTTTACGTCACACTGACACAGTACAGGTCATTTGCCGACGTTCAAGCTTTACTGGTGGAGGAGTAGAACCATCGACGTTCCGTAAGCAAGCTGGATAGCTTCCTCACATGAAGGAATCCAAAGTCCCTGTCGGGATTCGAACCCACAGCCGTGAGGGGCAACTGCTTTGAAGTCAACGACCTTAACAACTAGGCCACGGACGCCTTAATAATAATCATAGTAGTATACCACACCCACTCATCATAAAAATACCTGGTTAATAAAAATCATTATAATACCTGAATAATAATAATCATAATATAATACCACATTATATTATACCATAATTAATTATGGAGGAAGACCTCAAGTAAGTGTCCTGCTGCCCATTACTTCAGGCATGAACGGGCACCTGATTGGAAACCACTGGCATTCAGTAAGCTAGGTGGACAGCTTCCTCATATGAAAAAATCCAAAGTCCCTGTCGGGATTCAAACCCACAGCAGTGAGGGGCAAGTGGTTTGATAAAACATAAGTAATACACTATAACACTACTAGTTATATAATGGAAATTATCAATTCCAAAACCTTCAGTCAGAAAAACTCAACAGTCTATTATAAAACTTACCAGATCTCATATTTGTCATGGTAGCAGGGAAATCTATTGCACTAGGATTATGTGTTGTAATTCCAACCTCAATAGAGCCAGACCATTTGTCTACCAAACGATCTAGACGAATCTGAAATTATAATATTTAGTTATGTATGTAACATCACAGAAATTGTTAAATGCATCAATTCTGCATGCTTCTAGATGAGCCAAAGTTTTATTTTAGAAAATCAACAATGAGAAAAATGTACCAAGATTTTAAGAAAAGTAGAAATATTCACAATTCAAGTAATGACTTACATACATGGGTGTATGCAACAAATGACTGATTTTACAGTATTTATCATCATATTTATACTGCATGACTAACCAATCAGGTGTATTTTTTTCATATTTTGACCTTCATTTGGTAATTTACGTGGATTGAAAGTGCTGTTTGCAATGTGCAAATTACTTTCTTTGTTAATGTGACAATATTTTACTTTTTAATACATTTTCAAAATTGTCATGAATATTAGCATGAATCTGGAAGCATGCTGCTTAAGTGAGTGACATCAAAAATATTAATGTCAAAATGTAAAAATCTAGTTAAAACTTAATACCCATATTCCCATCTGACACAAAAAAAATCTAGAAAATCTTAGCTTAATAGTCCTAAAGAGGTCAAGGATAAATTTCATTATGTTGTAACAATACTGTTGATCAATGTCCACATATGAATGGTGCATCTAATATGCTATGGCAAAGATTATAGTGATCTGCAAAGAGAATGAAAAACAGACTGGCTTAAAAACAATATGCGCTTAACTACATGTTCTGATTCAGTGGTACAAACAGACTTTGATTTAATACCTCAAATAACTCATCATCTTTCAGAGGTCTATTTGTCATCACCACACCATTATTAAACTCATCCAGGGGCCTCCGTCTCTCTCCAGTCCTCCTGCCATTGCTCAACTTTACCAGACTGCCGCAGCGCTCATGAAATGTGAGTCTCTCATTTGAGTGTAACGTATCCTCGGCCAGATTCAACGCTTCAGTGGTACGAGTGAGGTCATTTACTATCTGACTTGATAACTGGGCAAGAAATTCATTGGCAAGTTGATGGGCAACTTCGCTTGGGGTTGAGTTTGGTGCGGCAACTGAGAAAAAAATTATTAACTTCAATAATCAAAGTTGGTTTAAATATATTTATATTAGCTTGATTGCGAAACAAGTTCTTGCAACTTATATTAATCACTTTCGAGTAAAGAACTTTGTATAGATTTTAAAAATTATACATGTATATTGATTTGGAATACAATCAGAAAATTAGTGAATTTTTCTTTTGAGGATGTCAGATTAATATTTTTATATCATCTGCTTTAAAAAAAAAGAATGTCTTAAAACTTAAAACTTATATGTAAATCTACATGGCTTAACATCAGATTCAGATCATCTAGGCCTACTGCTTTAATTACCCCTTTTTTACTTTTAAAATTCAAACAGATCTACTTTAAAACTTCAAATCTTTTGATATACTAACAGAAATACAAAATCAGAAAAGACCAATTTATAGTGTTTGTTTGTTCTTCACAGAAGATTTAATATACATGTATATAATAAAAAAATATCACAATCTCTTACCACTAACTCGGTTATCTGTAGATTCTATGATAGACACTTGGGCACACTTGCCATACATGTCTATCACGGCATAAACACCACCTGGGATATCAGTGGCAGCTGTACCCTGGTCAACACCGTTAACGAAAAAATGTAACTCTCCATTTGAAGATCGCATAACCCCAACAACATCCCCCTCAGACAACTGGTCAAGATCACATCCATATTCCTCAATCATTGAGTGACCATCCTTGAGGACTGAGCTACCGGACATAACCCAAGTTCCATCACGAAAGCCTGTTGCACTTATAGGAAAGTTGAGATTGTCTGGATCACATGTTGTCACTCCTATCTCTATTGATCCACTCCAGGAATTTACCTGAAACATTTGCAGAAAAGAAACTCTAAACCATGATAAATCCCATCATACAATTTAGATATAAACCCCTACTGTAAACAATGTGATATATTTCTGGGTTCAAGTATCAATTGTGTTGCACATTGTCTCAAAAGATATTTCATGATATTAAAACATTAGTTAAAGTTCATTAGTTGGGCTGTGACTCTTCTTATGTTCACTTCAGGAAATTCAAGTACCAGGTAACTGATTTGGTAGAGCTATAGAAAGATACTGCACAGGTTGCAGGTTTAAGTTCTATTTAGGCTGTACATTTTTCTAAGGGGTTAAGAATAAGATCACAGGCGCAGGAGCTAGATTATCAATATCTATATAATGTACCTTTATATATATTTCATCAAGGTTCTCAATAGAAACAGGAACCAAAGTCTTCACTCTTGCCTCAGGAAAATTAGGAAATACATGCATAAATTGACTTAAGGTAAAATCTGCTCACAAGTCAATTTTCGAATTACAGTCAACCCGGCCCCAAGTTAACCCGGCCCCAAGTCAACCTGGCCTCAAAATTGGTCAACCCGGCCCCAAAATTGGTCATTCCGGCCCCACAGTATTTTTATTTGATCAATGCGGCCCCAAAATTGGTAAGTGCTGCCCCAAAATTGGTCATTCCGGTCCCAAAATATATATTTTTCAAAGAAAACTATTTAAGTCATTTTGTTGTATGATGGAATAAAATTTATTTATTATTAATTGAAGTATATTAACTATAGAACAATAGTAATAAAAAAACCTGAACTTGCATAAAAGTGTCGGTAAATTTAATTGCGCTGATTAAGTCTTTAATACGCACTAGTGATAATGAATTATTATATAACATCAACAATTATATGTACATCAACATTAATTCAGATGTGATAATCAAACAGTTTAAAGCAATCAATTAACAAAAATGGTATAGCTGTGAAAACAAATCCTTTAAATACAAATGTAAGTTGGTAGTATCTTTCATGTCTTTATTCGATGTAAATTAAAGATGGTTTCGTGAGTGTTAATGCGATAATTAGGAAGAAATGCAAAGAATTTCGATTAATGTTTAAAAAAATTATTTATTGTTTAAGAAGGAACAAACCATCGCCGATTTGATAGTTATTTATGTTATCACTAAGATGATAATAATACTTTGTTACGCAAATGCTCCTTTCATTTCAGGCCATTCGACGTGGTCTTCAAGATAGTCAGCTGGTGAAAGAAATTGTTTGTTAATATTGATAGTTTTTATATAGAATAAATAATAAAAGATATCATCGTTGAACTTTTGTTTTTGTTGTTAATTTTTATTTTATTTCTTGATAAGTGTTTACATTTTAAAGCAAAATAAATAATAAAAAAAATGGGGCCAGGTTGACCAGAAATAATATTGGTTTGGGGCCGGTTGACCAGTTTGGGGCCGGGCTGACTTGGAACCGGGTTGAACTGGGGCCGGGTTCACTTGTACCGCAATTTTCCATTACTTAACCTGTTGCTTTCATAATAAAATAATTATGATGTTGGTTGCCTCTTGTATAATGCTTGTCTACCCGATTTAGCCGAGATCAAAGAGAAGTCAATATCACCAAAATATTACGGGGAAGTCAAAGGCTGGGTCCGCGAATAGCCGATAGCCGTCAAAAATGCCTGAACGTAAAATAAATGAATTCTTTTCGAAAAGTCATATTGAAATTCTAGATGCAACACTGACTACTGTTAAGAATAGTCTGTTGTCTGCTAGATCTAGTTCTGAAATTGTTTATAGGTGTATCATGTGTATTCTGCCTACAACACTAAAGTATATTTAATATATCAAAATTTAAGCTAGCCTACCACATTGATTTTTCTTGTGTTAGATCTATTCATTGGTATTGGTTACTAAACAGTAACTGGCAAAAGCAAGTGTAAGATCTGTTAAAAAGTAAAAAAAAAATGTTGGCATAAATTTGGGAGTCATACCTTTTTGTCAATCTTAACTTCTAGAACTTGATCGTCCTTTAATGGTACAGAACTAAGAACAACACCGTTGTTAAATTCCTGTGTAGGATGATTCCGTTGCGCAGTTCTGTTGTCATTACTAAGCGAAACTAATGCTCCAGTCCGATTGTGGAATCGGTGGAGAGCGGCCATTTTTACTACGCATGAATACCGAAAAGATTAAATTTTATACATATAAACGAAAAGAGCTTCTACTGTATTATACGAAAAGAACTGGTGTCAACCAGGTACGTATAAATAAATATACGTACCTGACCCATACAAAATGTATTTTATACAATTTTCTAGGAAAAACGTAAATATTTTCTGTAGAAAATATGATAAACAAGATCAACATGGAATGGCGGCGTTCAATGAACGCAACCCCCATATGACCCAGCAACAAGAACCAATGGCAAGGAGCCCAGGCGGACCCCAAACAAAAAGACAAAGACAGAGCACGGAAAGGTTAAACATTAAATGATAAATAATTTGCAAATGATTAGGAATTCAAAGAAAAGAATAATAGGCCCACAAAGGGAAAGGGGACAGGAGACCGGGGGAAGGGGGGGGGGGTGTCAACCAAAGAAATAAAAACCAGAGGCAATGGGGAAGATACTTACCGTAGACGAGAAAACAACAAGGGACACAAGCAAAAGTGTCACCAAAACAGTATGAAACAACATAGACATACATCTGAGGAACACAGAGGGGCGCCGCCTTGGAACGGTCAGCAGCATAATAATGACTGCTGGGGAGTTTAAACCGGTTAATGGTGCACCAAACCTCGCTCTTAGCCCCACCATGTTCCTATAAAGGAGACAGTGTAAATAAAATGAATCCCCGCCAGGTGAAATTCTAACAGTTGTCATGGTTACAAAAGGTTAAATAAGTAAAACACTAAAATGATCATGTAGAAACATATAAAAGTAAACCCAATGACCATAACAAAAGTACTCAATGTTCTAAAGGAAGACAGAGCAACAAGAAAATCACCTACAAGGGCCCGACGTCCGAAGCAAGGCAGAAGACGAACATTAAGACAATTCAGTCCCAAAGGGCTTTACGAACCATCCATCATAGAGTCTCCCACTTGGTCCGTCAGATGCAATCAAAAGAGGAAAGCGTAGTGTCCAACTGTAAAAGGGTTGAACACTAAACATGCAGTATGTCTTAAAATAGTAGGGTCATAACCTCTTTTAATAAAACGTTTAATGATTTTAGTAAAAACAGCAGAAAAATTACCATGACCAAAAATCTTACGAAGTTTGTAAATCACATCGCCATAAAAAACCAGACTGGCTAATCTCCTGTCGCAGAAGAGTGTTTAAATCACTATTGAATTTAGGAAATAAATCAAAATTACAATTGTAAAACGTTTCCGTAATTTATGATAACGGTAGCCCTGTTTTAGAAGCTTTGCTGGTAATAAAAATAATCCGCTCGTTGAAATCCTTTACAATGCTACAAAGCTCTAGCGAATCTAATTAACTGAGAAACATAAACCCCGTAAGATGTTGCATGGGGTACGTCTCCAGCTAAATGTGGATAATTAACTATACAAAAGTCAAAGTCATCTCTTTTATCATAGATTGTCGTGTGAATAGAATTGTTGTTGATAGTAATTAATATGAAGATCCAAAAATGATGTACTAAAATTTCAAGAGTTCGTTTTATTAAGTTGTAGTTCATGCGGATAAATGTCAGACACCATTTGATCAAAATAAGGATTATTTAAATTAAAAATATCATCAAGGTTTCTGGAAGTATTATTAAATGCGACTATAACATCTTGTTATAACAGAGATTAGCATCTCTTATATACTTCACTGAAATATCACACATGACTAGGTCCTATATTAGGATGGCTATAGAGATTTCGAGACATTTCGGCCCAAAGACGTATCGGCCCCAAATTACCCAAGACGTTTCGGCCCCGGACGTTTCGGTCCTTTGCCAAATCGGCCCCATATTTAGTAAAGAATAAGTCTTACATTATCGTGTTTTATATTCGAATTTTAATAGCATATATATAAATAAATGAAAGAATAAAAGGAATGAGAGAATTAATTGAATAATTGGATAATTAAATAATGATTTTTAATTGAATGAGGCTAAAATAGTAGTAATCAAAACGAACAGAACAAAGCATAAACTTTATTAAACAAAACATACTACACGAACGCTGAAACATATTTTATCGTCTTGTTATCAAGAAGTTGTCTTTTCAAATTTGAACGATTAAAAAGCAAGACACAGAACAATACAAACATTTATTTCCACAACTATTAAATTAATAGTTAGTGACGAGTTTTAGCAATACAATACAACACATAACAGTTAAACAAACAATACTTTGTAAACAGACATTTTTTATAAAAAAAAAAACATGTTTTACAATAAAAGTGTTAATTTGGTGTGTTCGTGGCTCAAGAAATTAAATTGTTAAATAGTATATTATTAATTTTATGTCTTGATAACTTCAAGTTAAAGCAATATTGTCTTTGTTGTTGTAGTAGTATTTGTTGTTGTGGCATAAAACTTGGAAGGTCAACCAAAGGTGTTGCAGATGGCAAAGGCTTCATACTGTTGTCCATCATTCCATGATGACGAAACATATCTTCCTAATCTGTTGCAGAGTAAATATTGGACCTACTGTCCGCAAACTCTAGACTACAATTCAGTCCCAAAGGGCTTTACGAACCATCCATCATAGAGTCTCCCACTTGGTCCGTCAGATGCAATCAAAAGAGGAAAGCGTAGTGTCCAACTGTAAAAGGGTTGAACACTAAACATGCAGTATGTCTTAAAATAGTAGGGTCATAACCTCTTTTAATAAAACGTTTAATGATTTTAGTAAAAACAGCAGAAAAATTACCATGACCCAAAATCTTACGAAGTTTGTAAATCACATCGCCATAAAAACCAGACTGGCTAATCCCTTGTCGCAGAAGAGTTTTTAAATCACTATTGAATTTAGAAATTAAATCAAAGTTACGATTGTAAAATTTAGTAAAATATTTCCGTAATTTATGATAGCGGTAGCCCTGTTTTAGAAGCTTGCTGGTAATAAAAATAATCTGCTCGTTGAAATCCTTTACAATGCTACAAGCTCTAGCGAATCTAATTAACTGAGAAACATAAACCCCGTAAGATGTTGCATGGGGTACGTCTCCAGCTAAATGTGGATAATTAACTATACAAAAGTCAAAGTCATCTCTTTTATCATAGATTGTCGTGTGAATAGAATTGTTGTTGATAGTAATTAATATGAAGATCCAAAAATGATGTACTAAAATTTCAAGAGTTCGTTTTATTAAGTTGTAGTTCATGCGGATAAATGTCAGACACCATTTGATCAAAATAAGGATTATTTAAATTAAAAATATCATCAAGGTTTCTGGAAGTATTATTAAATGCGACTATAACATCTTGTTATAACAGAGATTAGCATCTCTTATATACTTCACTGAAATATCACACATGACTAGGTCCTATATTAGGATGGCTATAGAGATTTCGAGACATTTCGGCCCAAAGACGTATCGGCCCCAAATTACCCAAGACGTTTCGGCCCGGACGTTTCGGTCCTTTGCCAAATCGGCCCCATATTTAGTAAAGAATAAGTCTTACATTATCGTGTTTTATATTCGAATTTTAATAGCATATATATAAATAAATGAAAGAATAAAAGGAATGAGAGAATTAATTGAATAATTGGATAATTAAATAATGATTTTTAATTGAATGAGGCTAAAATAGTAGTAATCAAAACGAACAGAACAAAGCATAAACTTTATTAAACAAAACATACTACACGAACGCTGAAACATATTTTATCGTCTTGTTATCAAGAAGTTGTCTTTTCAAATTTGAACGATTAAAAAGCAAGACACAGAACAATACAAACATTTATTTCCACAACTATTAAATTAATAGTTAGTGACGAGTTTTAGCAATACAATACAACACATAACAGTTAAACAAACAATACTTTGTAAACAGACATTTTTTATAAAAAAAAAAAACATGTTTTACAATAAAAGTGATAATTTGGTGTGTTCGTGGCTCAAGAAATTAAATTGTTAAATAGTATATTATTAATTTTATGTCTTGATAACTTCAAGTTAAAGCAATATTGTCTTTGTTGTTGTAGTAGTATTTGTTGTTGTGGCATAAAACTTGGAAGGTCAACCAAAGGTGTTGCAGATGGCAAATGCTTCATACTGTTGTCCATCATTCCATGATGACGAAACATATCTTCCTAATCTGTTGCAGAGTAAATATTGGACCTACTGTCCGCAAACTCTAGACTTTCCAAATTCTGTTGCGGAGTTACAATGTATGTTGGACCTACTGTCCGCAAACTCTGGGGTCGTCGCAGTACGCCTCAGTACCTACGTACTGTACTGGTTATAGCGACTGTTGGGCTTCTCGAAAAGTGAAGTTCCCTACTGGAACTGAACACTTTGGCCATCCTTGTAGCTATCCATGTGGAAAATATAAATGGATAATCAAATCAAAAGCAGAAGTCAAATGTTATATCCAGAATATTGTCACTTTAAATCAAATTATGAACAAACAAATCTGGTATTTAATCCATTTTACAAAAGTAATTGTATTAATCCATTTTACAAGAATAATTGAATAAATTTTAATTCTAATAATAACACATAAATTAAGAGAAATTAACTGCGGCCACTCTGATAGGATACTTTTAGCGTTCTGATTGGTCATCTGATAATATGTTCATCTCATTAACCATAGGTGGTCCAGTGCAGTAGAATAAAAAAAGACTCAAACTCCGCACACCGGTTACGCTACGGCCAGTAACTAATCCTGTAAGGGGTGATCACTGCAGGAGATTGAAAAAGACTGTCTCACTCATTTTATAAATTGAATTTAACGTTACCGGTAAATTCCGATGGATATTTACAGCAACTTCCTTAAACATTCATGCGAAGTAAATTATATAAATAAAAGAAATAATCGCGAAATGTAAACTTATTTTGACTTCCTCCTGTTCACCCCTTTTACCTTTGGAGTGGGCATAATGGCTACGATCGAGGATGCCTATTTCTGTAATCCATGTCTCTGAGAAAATATAGGAAATGAAACTGAATTATTGGCAAGACATATTGTATTTTGTGTTCTGACTTTTCTCAGAATGATATGTAACTGCGATGTCATATATTATTTAAAATTTCTTTAGTTTTTATATGAACTATTTCAACAATTATGTTGACCTCTTTATTTGCAGATTTTTTTTACACAAACGAATGTCCTCTTTTTAACCTTAAACTAACTCGGAATTGTCTATGAACTTCTACTCTATTTCTATGTAGGCAGATGCCGTTTTTGCCCTACACAGAGTGCGTATGCGCGAGAAAATACTACTTCCAATCGAATTTTCATAGAAACGTACCTAACAGGTCTTAAAAAGGCCTATAGATTGACCTATATATTGGTATCATAAGATAATTTTAATTGTATGTCTTAGGTTTAATTTATTTTTAAAAAGCAGGGAAGTCATTTTTATAGTTTTTATAGTTAAGGCTGTCCAAACACCTTTCTAAACATTTGACATTATCTATAATTGATCAGTTGCCATTGTAATTTAGTCTATCTATGAAATATACAACTTATTTACCTCAGTTTGATAATGAAAAAAGAACATAATGTCGCTTAAATAGATCGGAAAAAATACAAACAAACAACCCCCCCCCCCCCCCCCCCAAAAAAAAAAAAAAAAAAAAACAACAAAAAAAACAAAAAAGAACAACAAAAACAACAACAGAAAAAAAAACAAAACAAAAAAACAACAACAACAAAAAAATAACAAGAGATCAAATGTAAGGCTAATGAGCTGCATACAGACCATGTGTAATAGTTGCAGGACTGGAGAAGTACCTCTAGTCGCTTGGAGAAAAAATAGACAAATATTATTTTTTCGCCCGTTATTACATTTTTCATTCAGTATCATACGTAGGGAACGTGTTACAGTATCGCGTTTTTCGGTTACAGTATAGAATTTTAAAGATGGAGGATTATGTATGGGAAGAAAGGTAGGTGATTTTTATTCAGGTCCATACCACAAGTAGTTTAGTTTCTAAAAGATGTTTTTGTGCTTGCTTGTACGGAACAGAATCCGGTATCTAGTCATATATTTCTTCAGACCCTGCACCGCAGATTTATCTCTATATTGTCTCATAACTGTGCAGATTTGACGGTTTAAAAATTTGAATCGAGAGACCAACGCATTTTTCTCCAATTTCGACATTATTTAAGCATGCCTAGATAAAGTAAATCTACAAAACGTTAGTTCTTTGTGTTTAGAAACGTTTATAAAAGTAAATGACCAGTTGAACCTATTTTCCTGTTGGTAAAATGCGTTTGAAAAAATAAACAATGTTACAGTATAGAGCGAGGTTAATTTTGCAGGGTTACAGCATAGACCTAGCGACTTTGATCCGATTTTGTTACAGTTTATACCCAGATTTCGGTTACAGTTTAGATACTTGCCAAATTTCAACCAAAGTTCGTGTATCCATTATTTTTATGAAATAACTAATACCTTTCCTGAAAGGTTGTATTACTTTTTTTCTTCAGCAGAAAAGTTATAGTTTGCTATTTTTCTTACTTTAAGTTTCAGATTGAGACTTTTTTGCAGAATAAGTAATGTCCTAAGTAAGGACTGTTTTCAAGACAACAACAGTAACTTTTATCGCATTGTATTGAGAGAAGAAAGATTATTGCTTGATTTCATTACACATTATAATAATGCCTATTAGTAATAAAATAGAGAAAAAAGAATCCTTAACAGACGTCCAACACGAAAACATGAAAATGTTGCAGGCTCAGTTTCATTAAACCTGTTCATGGACGGTAGTGGTAACTGCAAGCTACCGTCCACGCCTCCTAGCACCGGCTTCAGCAGAATTCACATTAAACATGAACTGGTACACTTAAGATTTTTTAACATATGTGGATGTGTTCATATGGCGGTTATCATGGAACCTTTAATGTGACACGTTATTGCCATTCTATGAAAAGAGGCATATTACCCCCAGGTTAAAAATTGCGTGTGCCCCAAAACGAGAATATGAACAATGAGTGAAACTAAATAAAATGAAATTTTGAGAGGGGATCGGAGGTTATGAAGCCTGCATACCATAGATAAGCTGTCAAAAGACACAATTAACAAGCAGGCAATACCCTAAGAATGATTAACCTTAAATTTTATTTTAAGTTGGAATTTCCATCTGCCATAATGTATTTAAAAGAGTTTGTTACGTTTGGCTTTCTTGGATTTTAAGTTTCAACGACACTGAGGTCATGTGAAAACATTCCTGCTTTACTGTAAAGAAAGACCCCTTTGTGAAACATTTCAGACACGAGCGGGCACCTGACTAGAACCACCGACCTTCCGTTAATTAGTTTGATAGATTCCTCACATACAAAGAATCCAAAGTCATGATTGGATTTCAACTACAGCAGTAAATGAAAGATTATTTGAAGTCGACGGCCTTATCCCGACTCTGCCACTATTATGTACCTCCACAGGCTCACTAGAGGAGATATTGTAATTGTCTGACCTAAACTTATACTCAATAATTACTTTCAATATTATTTTCTTTTCCAGAAACATGAAAACTGCTACACAGGATGTCTGAAATAAAAAAAACGACTTTTAATTTAATAATGACAAAATAATCGTAACTTCAACAAAGAAGCATTCGAAATGACGCCATGATCATGATTTGATTTGAATGCTTTTGGTTCGAGATGAGAAGGGTCTTTAAACATTGCCTTTTTTCAAAATCTATGTTTTGGGTTTTCGTATCCCCGATTGCAACCGAAACCATTTGAACAACTTAATTGGTAGAAAGTCATGTAAATTTCATCACATGTAGTCAAGTAGTTACTGAGCGGATGAAATTGCGCACACATGTGTTCGACAGACGACGAATAGCCATCGGGCCATTAAGCTCACCAGTTGGGTTTCTAGAGATTTAAAAGTCAATGTTACATTCATACATTTTACCTAGTATATAAAGAAAATATCGAAGTCTAAACTGTAACCGAAATCTGGGTATAAACTGTAACAAAATCGGATAAAAATCGCTAGGTCTATGCTGTAACCCTGCACAAATCACCTCGCTCTATATATACTGTAACATTGTTTATTTTTTCAAACGCATTTAACGAACAGGAAAATAGGTTCAACTGGTCATTTACTTTTATAAACGTTTCCTAACATAAAGGACTAACGTTTTGCAGATTTACTTTATCTAGGCATGCATAAATAATGTCGAAATTGGAGAAAAATGCCTTGGTCTCTCGATTCAAATTTTCAAACTGTCAAATCTGCATATTTATGAGACAATATAGCGATAAATCTGCGGTGCAGAGTCTGAAGAAATATATGACTAGATACCGGATTCTGTTCCTTACAAACAAAGCACAAAAACATCTTATAGAAACTAAACTACTTGTAGTATGGACCGGAATAAAAATCACCTACCTGTCCTCCCAGCAAATAATCCTCCATCTTTAAAATTCTATACTGTAAGGCCATCCTTAAAAAAATGTTTGTTTGCAGTAACCCTACCCAGAATTTTTAAGGTGGGTAGGTAGGTCGATTTTTTTTTATTGAACTGTACTCCCAAATAAACATGGAATTTCAAAATGCTGGACAATATATGCTTTGATAATCTGGTAACAATTAATAAATTGATAACTGAATTCTAATTTAATAAGACCTACATTTTATTTCTTCTATTTACCTTTAAAAGAACGAAAACAAAGCACAAGGCATAATTTTCTGATTAAAAAAAATAATTTTTTATTCAGACCCTGAAAATTTTTTTTGAGTAGGGGCAAATTTTGTGAGTCGGTCGCGTTACTGCAAACAAACATTTTTTTAAGAATGGCCTAACCGGAAAACGCGATACTGTAACACGTTTCCTACGGTGATAATTCGGTGTGAAAAGATTAATAAGACCATTTAAAGTTCAGTCAAGATTTTAGCATTTTATCATTCTCGAAATGCGCCTTGTCCAGGATTTCGAGACATTTCGGTTCCAAGACGTATCGGCCTCAAACTACCCAAGACGTTTCGGCCCCGGACATTTCGGCCCTTTACCAAATCGGTCCCAAAATAAGTACTGTATTTTAAACCGATATATTAATTTCAATAAATTAATGAATCAGTTAATACATATATTTAATCATTTTGTATAAAAACTAGATTTTAATAGTAGTTTTAGGGGAAAAGTAATCAATACAAACAGAACAGAATATAAATTTTATTTGAAAAAATATAATACACAAACAAACAATTATTTACACCATATATAGATAATATTTTATTTGAAAGATTAAGAAGCAAGACACAAAACAATACACGAGACAGATATTAAATTATCATCAACAACTATTTAACAGTGACGAGTTTGATGGAAACGAAAACAATAACAAATGAACTATAGGTGCAATATATTAATTTTTGGGAAATCCTTTCTAATATTTATATTCAAAACTGACCTACCTGTATCGCATTTTCGGTGCTGCCATCTGTCACATATATCGCAATTTTTACACTTAAAATCCGATTGTAAGTATTTAATCACAGTTAATATCCAGCAAATAATTTATCTAATTTAATTATATATATATATGAAATTATTCCAACAATTATACGCACAAACACTTTATTTGCGAATGTTATAACTTATCTATAGCAGGCACATAGCATTTAAAATTTGGTTTCAGTTTTTCCATCAGTTTTATAACATCTAGCATCTATCATTATCTTATAACAATAATAATTTAAAATATTATCATGAGATTATAGCAAACCGTTTTTTTAAAAATCTTTTGAAGTTTTCTCTGATATTACTTACCGCCAATTAGCATAAAGCTATAAACAGTTAATTAGTTACACCTTGAAAAAATTACGTATAGTTTAATTAAGATCAAAAGATAATGTTTTCTAAGGAATAGTTGTAATTAACTTTCTTAACCCAGAAGTTTTAGTGGTTTTTTTTTATAAATTAAGTAACCTGCCTTTATTGTTTGTTACACCTTTAAAAACATTAACGTATATCAAAAGATAATAAATAATTATTTAAAGAATTAAAGTGTCATAATTGTTTAATTGTAATTAAATTAATTGTTGTTAATCAAGCAATATACTATAGTGGGGCAGAAACGTCTCGCGGAAAAGGGCCGAAACGTCCAGGGGCCGATTTTTCGACTGGGGCCAATTTTGTTTGCGGCCGAAATGTCCTGTTTGCTTGTCCGGTATATACCGGAATACGGTATTTAATGTGGTCTTCCGTCAAAATTCAATCGCAACTTTTCGGCCCTTTCCGTCAGTCTTCGGATAAGGAACTAAACATGTAAACACATAGTATTTTAATGCTTAAAGTTGTTGACAAGTTTATTTCCAATATATGTAGTAAAAGTCCACCTTAAAATAAGTGAATTCATAGATACAAAAGCAAACAATACAATATTTCTATTTTTATTATTATGATTGTAGAAACCGAAAGTACAAAAAAAAAAAACCTGTTGACATTTAGTCGGATTTGTTTAAAATTACATACATCAGTTAGCATATTTAAATTACAAATTATCATACATATTTTCAATCATAAGTGTACTGTTTTCTATTGGATGTCAAACATTATCATTCATTTTACATTACCACAGCTGAAGGTTATTATATAGATAATAGCCGATGATAATCCGATTGGTAAAAGATTATCCGAAGTTTGACGGAAAGGGCCGAGAAAATACGCCTGAGCCAATCAAATCACTGTGAGGACGTAGGCGCTCGTGTAAGATGATATGCTGGCGCGCAACGTGACGAGAGAGTTATGAACAGATGAAAGTTGTAAGTTGACAGATTTTTTATTTCTATGCTAAAAGCGCAATTCTGTTTGTGCTTATATTTCCTAGTTTTGTGCTTATATTTCCTAGCTGAATAGCCAAGTGTGTCTTTTTCTTTACACAATCTGTTTCCTGATTTAATTATGGCACGGTGCGCACAGGATGTATTGTAATTTTCTACCTCCATTATTTCGGAGTTCGAACGTTACAGGTTTACAGATACTGGCTTCCAAAACCTTGTACATGTAAAAACCTTGTACATGTATGCCACTCTTTAATATTTTTTTTCTTTCATCTGTTGCGGCTTTGAAGTTTTGGATCGGACCCATTATCACAGTATATAAACGATTTTCAAGAACCCCAACCGGATCTTGTGAGAAGAATTCAGCATCTATACTGTGCTCCTCTTAGGTCACGGTACTTAACACTTTAAAACAGTAAAGAACACAAACAATAAACTTACACTACAAAAATTGTCATAAACTGTATCATTTTGTCATTTTTCTGCTATATGACACAAGGAAGCAACAATATATTCAATCTAAATTAGTTTTAATTTGTCAGATGTAGACCGTGTGTCGGCCATTTTGAAAATAGTATGTCATCATTTAACTCGCGGTAATGGTGTTTTATTTCAGTTTTTTCATGTTTCAGTTATAATTTCTTTATGTTATTTTGCATAATTTTAAATATTAAGATAATCTTTACATTGTAACTCAAAATTTATTTTTTTAACAAACAAGAACATTTAGAAAATGATGATTGTTTCAGACGTATGCACAGATTTAATGGACTATTGTTGTTTTTTGCAGAAGTTTGTAAAATGTTGCTCAGTTTTACGTAAATATCTATAGATTTAAATTATTTTGCACAAAAACTTTGTTGTTAAGGTGTTTGAATAAAATATGTCAATTCTGACCAATTTTAACACTGGCCACATGAAAATATGCCATTACCGCGAGGTAAGTGATGACGCGGAATTAGTGATGTTGAGTATAAACGTACAATCAGGCATAATGACACATTAAACTATTAAAAATCGGATTGAATTTAATATGTTACGGTATGTTAACATTTGATTCATATTAAGAGATAATTTATCTTTGCTTAAATATACATCCATAACCTTCTTCGTAAAATATATGCGCATAAAACGCTGTGCTCTTCGCCTCATATTTTGTTTATGTCAACACACGCCGATTACACAAGCAAATGTATGCCTAAAATTGTTTTATTTCACTATAACTCATATCTGAATCTTAACTTTATTGTCTTAACCTCATGTTACCGGACAGACACTTGTGAAAATATCTTTGAATAATGATAAAACATAGTAAATAATAGATGCGCCATTTCTGATAACTGTACCCGTCTTGCTAAAACAGTTTTAATGATCTGTACCCTACTTGTGTTTTCACTGAACCATTACTTGCGAGTCACTTTTGATGATTTTTATTGTGTTTTTGTCCTATGTTCTTAATTTTGATGTGCAGAATATGAAGTTATTGTGTCACAAGAGAAGGGTACATGTTTTAGTTCTATGTAAGTAACTAAAACTGCATATGAATGAAGGTGCTTCGTCATGTTTTCACTGTCTTGAAAATACCGGCATGAAGTGGCTGTTTATACGAATCAGAAAGACAATTGTTTCTTGAAAGGAATAATTAACTAACGACATTGTTGTTAGTTTTGACGTGACCGTTATATTATTAGTTATAAAGATCGTTGACAGGATATATGGCCCTATATAAACGGCTATTTGTAAATATAACCCGAGCCGTTAGGCGAGGGTTATATTGCAAACAGCCGTTTATATATGCCCATATAACCTGTCAACAATCTTTATAACGAATTTATAATACAGCAATCATCATTTTTATAGAAAAACGTAAGATTTCTTCATGAATTGACAGCAGCCGTGTATATAAAACTATATAAACGTCACGATTATCCAATGAAAAATGACGTTACAAACGTGCAGTATTATAAAACGTCACGTATAAAAAAAACTCGAAATAGCATTACAAGATTTTTTTGCAGATTACTTATTTCAACATGTTGAAAGCTTTTCACCTAACGTTGATTTCATTCTGCTTTTTTAAACACTGTTTTATATTCTCAAAAATTAATTGACTTTCTTTTTCTGACATGTACGACTTTTATTCTTGTATATCTTTCATAGACGTCGACAATTTTGGCATCTTTTTAAACGGAGAATATTCGGGAAATTTTGAAATTTTAATTTGTCAGTGTTTCAGCTATTGGTGTTATAAACTTCTTTTTTTTCGTTTACGTTATTGGCTGTGACGCTGAAATTTTTTAAGTAGAAAATTTTATTCTTCTTATTTTCAAGTTGCAGTCTGGATGGCGAATAATTAGAGGCACAGGCGCTAGTCACATAATCAAATATTTTACATAATCGTTCTATATATGTATATAAAGATATAAGGCCCCCAACGAAACAAAAACATCATGCGGAACAAACAAGAACAATGCTGAAAGAAACGACCAGATCACGGTTATCTCTTTCTGGTTGCCATCTGAAAGGATCAATCCAAGCGTTAAAGCTTTTTATTTCATTAAAATTCTTCAAATAGCAAAGAAATGAGTAAAAGTTTCAGAAAATGCCAATATTTTCAATCCATGTCGTTTTCGACGTCCAATCTATTCATGTATACAAACACGATTTCTGGTCGATTTCTACGAAATAAATAGAAAACATCTAAAATTTCCTCATAAAATTAATAAACAAACTCTTTTTCTATCAATCTGCGAAGTCTAAATTGAACTAGAGCCTCTTTGTACTCAAATATTCAAAAAATATTGGTTGTAGAAGCGGAGGTCAAGTAAAGTGCGCCATTTGTAATTTGAAGTGACAGATAAATGAAACAAAGAAATAGAATTATACGATTGGTCAATAGTATTCCGGTAATTATCTTAACCAATCAAATCCTAATATAATATTCAGAGCGGAACAGTATATACATGCGCTATACATGGCGATAAAATACTGTCACAAGCGAGATGCTTGTGCATTTTTTAATGAAATACGTACGAAGAGAGCATTTGATCAGTGAAGACTTCGCAGATCAATAGGAAAAGAGTTTGTTTATGGAACGTACGTGGAAATTCTAGCCGTTTTTTGTTTTTTTCCGTAAAAATCGATCAGAAATCGTGTTTGTATACATGAATGGACTGGACGTCGAAAACGACATGAATTGAAAATAATGGCATTTTGCGAAACTTTTCCCAATTTCTTTGCTATTTGAGGGATTTTAATGAAATAAAAAGCGTTGGCACTTAGATTGATCGTTTCAGATGGCGACCAGAAAGAGATAATCGTGATCTGGTCGTTTATTTCAGCAGTGTTCTTGTTTGTTCTGCATGATGTTTTTGTTTCGTTGGGGGCCTTATATCTTTATATACATATATAGAACGATTATGTAAAATATTTGATTATGTGACTAGCGCCTGTGATTAGAGGTCAATGATGTCATTGAAATTCGTAGTCTTTACTGAACAGTATATGCAGTTGTATGGTGATGCGAAAGAAAAATATACATAGCATTATATATTTTCTTAAACAAATGATTAACAATATTATCAGTTAAACCAATTCTCGGTAAATACCTTATATCCCACCTTATATACTAAAATTTGATTATAATCATTTATATTTTCTGGCAATAATTGATACAAAATCGCAATGAACGTAAACTTTTTCTCCAATAAATCTTTAAAAATACTCACAAGTCAGGGTACAGATAAAATTCGTAAACTCACAAGTAGGGTTCACAATCACCAGCAAGTAACGTTCAGTTTACGGAAATGACCTCCTTGGTAAAACTCTTAAATTTATGTTCAAGATACAGCAACATGTTATGCATATGACTAAATTATCGTTTGTTATTGATTAATTTAGTAGTCCGATATCACAATTCAATGTTTAACTAAATCAACATTGGAATAAGACGGATTTTTGTTCGTGTTCAGTGTTGATCACATGAAAGCTGTTCGTGAGTTTCGATTATTTTATAGCCTTCGTGCTAACGTTTATGTTTTGCATAACTTAGACGTTTAATAAAGTTTCTTCTTTATAATATAAATATAGATTTATTAACCTAACGTCCATCAGTATCAATATAAATACCAATATCGTAAACAAGTGAAGTGGCAGAATATGGCTGACACTAAAATCTTCTCACAAGATCCGGTTGGGGTTCAAATCGTTTATATACTGTGATTATGAAACCATAGAATCGGTTACAAGATACAAGAAACTTTATTTTAAGTCGGTTTACATATTACAATAAACATTAGCTAATAAGCTGTTTACCGACAATAACAAAGGCATAAAACATATTTACTAACATATAACAGTTCTGAAAATAAAAACATATAAACTATTAGCAGCTTTAAGCATGAAATAAAAGTATCAAGGTTAAGAAGAACTTTACAATAAGATGGTAAATTAAGGCATAGTTTGATCACAGGTGCTCGTCCAGTCTTGGTGCCCATATAAAAAAATGAAGTTTTTAAAAAAAATTGAAAAAAAAATTTGAAAAACAAAAAACAAAACATCAAAATTACTATTTTGGGTTGAGTGTAAGAAAAAAAATTTGAATTTTTTTTTTTTTTTTCCTATATACCATTACTACGAAAAGGTCACCTAGTCGCCGTAACGCTACAGAGCTTTACTAGGACACACTGTGGAACAACCACAATGTCAAGTTCTGTAACAATAAAAGCTATTTTGCTACTCTTTACACATTGTGCATTTAGAAAATTGATAACATTCTTATTGTACCTTACATACAATCTTAAATAACTTACATTTAAACTCGGACACTCCAATTTGTTAAAATTTTGCAAAACAACAGTGATTGTCGGCCATTTTGTCGAAATTGAAAGTACAAAACATACATCGTACTGTTTCGCTGTTCTGATCGTTCACTGAACAATAGACAACAGTAACCAATAAATTGATGGTTACCGTTGTCTACT